TGATGGTGATGTCAGGGACATGGTTTGTAAGTTATGATTTCATGAGTATGACTGGGCTGGGCTAGTCTGTGAGATAGCTGTCCCAATTTTGGCACAAGCCCCCAGATGTTAGTATGGAAGACTTTATGTAAAGAGTGCTGATTTGGCTTGTATGTCCAAACCTGTCCTTTGGCTGTAATGTTTTACAACATGTTGTATTTCTCTCCTGACTGCCAACATGTATAATTTCTGATCATTGTTTTCTCTTCCTTTTTCTGTTTGTTTTGACTTTTGACATTTTCACTTATACCTTGCTAGTTACCAGTTTAAAGACATTCTGAAGAAGAGTCATACCTTGAGGCTCTCTCAGCTGGATTTTTTGCCATTTTCCTATGTTGTTGGTCCAACATGATCCACAACAATTCAATCCTACCCTTCCTCTTCAATGTCCTTTTCAAGCTAGTTCAAGAAATCCCTCACCCTCGCAGCAACTAGATAACACATCGTATGGTAGTTTCAGTCCAGCTTGGAACAGATCTGATTCCGTTTGTTGCATCTACACAGGTACCATATTCAGCATCTACTTCACCTCCTACTATCCCCATCTACAAATTATGGACCACTTGTGTTCCAAGGTGGCATGTTCTGCACTATGACTTTCCTTCCGACAGTCTCTAATTTTATCCTGCACAATACCAAGGATGTGGCGTCCCACAAGAGGAAATATCCTTGCCATATGAACCGTGTCAAGACCCCTCAAGCTGTTTATAATGTTTCAGTCAAGTCGCCTTTTAATCTTCAAAACTCCAGATCCAAACTTGGCCTGTCCAGTCTTTCTTGATGGGGCAACTTGCTTATTCCAGGTGTTAGTCTAGGAAACTTTCTTAGAACTGCCTTAAATGAGGAAACTAATATTGTACACAGTACTCGTATGTGGTCAGTGTCCTGGCTAGAAAATATAACCTCCGTACTTTTGCATTCAATATCCCTTTCAATAAACAATAATATTCTACTATTTCCTAATTATGCTAAACCTGTTTATAACCTTTTGTGATTCATGCCCTGGGACGCCAAGATCCTTTTGCAATCTTTCACGGTTCAGATAATAGGTTTCCATTTTATTCCTCCTCCCAAAATGGACATTTTTCCATGATACTCCTTTCCCAGAACTTTACCCACCCACTTAACATATTTACATTCCTTTGTCTCCTCCTTAAACACTCTTTCTTTGCTCCCAACATTTGCATCTTCAACTAATTTACCTTCCTTTGGTCTCCTCATGCAACCGTTTATATGAATTGTAAAATGTTGAGGCAGCAACACCAATCCACTTGGATTTTGCCAACCAGCAAGTTATCATAGATATCATTAGTAAAATAGAATTGGTGGACATAGCACTGGATTATGTTACTAGAGGAATTGTATAAAATATATAGATCTTAAGAGGATGTAGCAAGGCACTAGCTATTTCCACTTGTTGTATTTGCCATTCGACCATAAAAAAAATTCTTGTACCTCAAATAGAAAGTGCTGCCAAAGACCATAAGAATGGCACCATGTCTTATGATATTGTGAGAAAATGTTAGGGATGACAGTTGTGTTCTTAATAGAAAATAAATTTCAGACTGATTAGTGTGATCAAGTGAGCACATAATTTTGGACTTGCTGTTACACATATGGTTATGTCGCTCAGGTAAAGAGAATGCTTTGAATACTGAAGTCATCTACTCAGCTATCATTGAAACTTTTAAATATCTGTATTGACCTCATTCCATTTTGCAGAGCTGTGAGTTATTTCAAAATTGATGCAAAATGTGAATTTCTATTGCGTTATTACATTTTCTGAGATGATATAGATAGCCTTTCCAAAGTACAAATGTGGACACTCTTCTAAAAAGAAAATGAATTGTCACTTCCTGCTTCTGTGATTAGGATGCCTGAACTTCCAACTGTCCAGTCACCTTTGTCATGCAAAGACAGATGAGCAGTGTGCCCTCCACAGTCCAAACATCCTACTGAAATTCACTCTTGCAGTTTGTAGATGAAAAATAGGAACAGGAGGAGTCCTTTTGGCCCCCCTCTTGAACTTGTTCCACCTCGCAATGGAATCATGGCTGCTCTTGGGTAAGCAAGGAAGTTTAACAAATGGCTTTCACTCCCCAATACAGTACTGGTGAATTTACTCCACTTGTCATTCTGAGCATCTTGCAGCCTATGAGTCCAGTTGCCATATTGCGGATACTGTCAGGGTTTGTTCCTTTTTCCTCTCCACAGATGCCACCCAACTGGCTAAACATTTTCAGCGTTTTCAGCTCAGATTTACAACATTTGTAATATTTTGCCTTTTGTCACTTTATTGAGTTGTGGGCAATTAGTCCACTGGTATTTGCTAAATGATTGCCGAAATGTCTTTCCTGTAGCCTTTCTTTCACTGTTTTGCAAAGCTGTTTATTTGTAGACTATTGTGTTGATGAACTGATTGTCTAAACCAGGGTTTCCCAAACTGTTGGTCACAACCCCATAAGTAATTGATGTCACATGTTCTCCCATCTCCAAGGCAGCAATGCAGAATTTGTGATGTGGAGACTCTGGTAGGACAACTCTGGAATTGGCACTAAGTCCCCATGACACAAGTGTGCACGTGTTTCTTTTTCATGTCATGATTTGTTAAGGATCTTAAGGATCCTATCAAATTGAAAGAAAAATAAACATTTCTGATGAAGGGTCTAGGCCCGAAACGTCAGCCTTCCTGCTCCTATGATGCTGCTTGGCCTGCTGTGTTCATCCAGCTCTACACCTTGTTGAATTGTTCACTCTTACTGATTTCAAACTTGAAGTTGATTGTGCATGAAGAAAATAAAATCATATTTTGGTTCTGATGCCATGAATTGACAAACCTCATGAATGAACTGAGATTGATATTCTTGGCCTTCTTAACAAAGAAGTATAGAAATTAGGTTCAGGAAGAGGCCATTCGGCCCTTCAAACTGCACCACCATTCAGTAAGATCATGGTTAATCATGCAATTTCAGCATCCCGTTCCTGCTTTCTGTCTGTTCCCTTGGATCTCTTTAGCCACAAGAGTCACATTCAACTCCCCCTTGAACATGTCTAACAAACTGGCCCCAACAGCTTTCTGTGCTAGAGAATTCCACAGGTTCACAACCCTGAGTGAAGAAATTCTTTTTCATCTCAGTTCTGAATGGCTTACCCCTTATTTTTAGACTGTGAACCCTAGCTCCGGACTTCGCCCACATCGGGAACATTTTCCCGCATCCAACCTGTCCAGTCCCATCAGGATTTTATATGTTTCTATGAGATCCCTCCTCATTCTTCTAAATTCCAGCGAGTACAAGCCCAGTTGATCCAGTCTTTCTTTATATGTCAGTCCTGCCATCCTGGGAATCATTCTGGTGAACCTTTGCTGGATTCCCTCATTAGCAAGAATGTCCTTCCTCAGACAATACCCAAGGTGTGGCCTCATCAAGGCCCTGTATAACTGCAGCAAGACATCCCAACTCCTATACTCAAATCCTCTTGCAATGAGGGCCATCATGCCATTAACTTTCCTCACTGCCTGCTGCATCTGCATGCTAACCTTCGCTTTCTGTTCCACCACAACAGACACCCATGTCTCGTTTTGCACCTCTCCTTTTGCTCAACTGCCACAATTGAGATAATAATCTGCCTTCATGTTTTCGCCAAGTGGATAAACTCACATTTTTCCCCAGTATATCGCAATTACCAAGTATTTGCCCACTCAGTCAGCCTGTCCCAAGTCACCCTGCAGCCTCTGAGCATCCTCCTCACAGCGGACACTGCCACCTAGCTTCGTGTCATCTGCAAATTTGGAGGTATTGCATTCAATTTCTTAGTCCAAATCATTAATGTATATTGTGAACAGCTGGGGTCCCAGCACTGAACCCTGTGATACCCCACTCGTCACTACCTGCCACTTTGAAAATGACCTGTTTATTTCCAGCTCTCTGCTTCCTGTCTGCCAAACAGTTCTCCATCCATATTAATTCATTACCTCCGAAACCATGAGCTTTAATTTTGCTTGCTAATCTCTTGTGTGAGATTGTCCCACATCCTCAAAAGATCCCAGAAGATTTGTCAAGCAAAATTTCCCTTTAATGAATCCATGATGACTTGGACAGATTCTGTCACCACTTTCCAAATGCTCAGTTATTACATCCTCAATAATTAACTCCAGCATTTTTCCCACCACTGATGTCAAGTTAACCAGCCTATAATTCCCCGTTTTCTCCCTCCCTCCTTTTTTAAGAAGTGGTGTTACATTAGCTTCCCTCCAGTTCATTGGAACTCTTCCAGAGTCTATAGAATGTTGGAAAATTATCACCAATGCGTTCACTATTTCTAGGGCCACTTCCGTAAGTACTCTGGGATTCAAAGCATTAGGTCCTGGGGATTTATTGGTTTTCAATCCCATCAATTTCCCCAGTACCATTTCCTGACTAATTAGGATTTCCTTCAGTTCGTCCTTTCTGCTTGACCCTTTGTTCCTTAGCATTTCTGGAAGGTTAAGTGACAAAAAATGAGACTATTGCAGGCATCTGGTGATTGGCTTGTTTTCTGTTGGTAAGGCTAACAGAATGCATACAAAATAATTGCTTCAATTATCTGCTGAGGAATTTGCTGTTTCTGTTTGTAGTTAGATGACTATGTCAAATGTTCACATGTTTAAAAATAGTAACTTTGAGCTTTTTTTATTCCTGGGGAAAGAAAATGAGTGGTATGGTGAGAACGTGGATCTAAAGTCATGTATGTAGATGCTGCTGTGGTGGACCAAATGATTGTTAAATTTAGTCAACCCTTTACACAATGCTACATGAACAATATTCAAGCAGTTTTATTATTTGTATTGAAACATTTCTCGTTTTTGCTCTCTGCTCTTCAGTACTTTTCAAACGTTTTTATACTTTATTCATTTAGCGCCTGAATTAGTGAGATGGTCCAAATGTATCAAGTTCATTAAACTTCTTCTGTTTATACTGCAGAAAATCTGATCACTGGATGCAGAAAAAGGTAAGTCACTGTTTGGTGGACCTAATAGTTGCCGACTCCTCAGAAACTGGGTGAATCATTTCAGTTCTGAAAATGGGCCACTGTACTCGAAACATTAACTGTGATTTCTTTCCATAGATGCTGCCAGACCCTGAGATTTTCCAGCAATTTCAGTTTTTGAATCATTTAAATTATTGACAGAATTAACGATGTTTATTGTTAAATTAGCCTTTTCATGGAATGATGCAGCATAGAATCAGGTCTTTCATCCCATCATACCTGCACTGGCTTTTTTTTTTAGAAAAAAGCTACCTAATTATTTCTTCCCAGTACTTGCCCACAGCTCTATACATTTTTACTTCTCAAATACGTGTATCAAAGTCCTTTTTGAATGTTTCTGGTAGTGTCTCATCGTAACTGTGTGTAATTTATTTCTTCAAAGGTTTCCCCCAATTCTTTTTTGCAGTAATCTGTTCTATCAAAAATGAATAGAATTCTGAATACTTATATTTAAAGTCTGTTAACCTCTCATTACTGTAAATCTCCTTTCCTATATTTCTAAAACCTTTTGATAGCTTTCTAAATCAGGTGGTGCTCTGACTTGGACACACTTTTCTTTCAGGTGTGACCAAGCCATGTATTATAACTGTTGAGCACAAGGTCTTTCCTTTTATGCTCAATTTTTCTATGAAGCCTAGGATCACGGTTGCTTTTGTTCACAAGGAACTAAATTTTTCATACCGGCTTTCAGAGTTTATCTATGTACATCTCAGGGCCTCGTTTTATGTATACCTTTTAAAACTGTATGATGTTGTTAATGCTGCCATTCCTCATTCTTCCTAGGAAATGTGTTTGGCTGGACAGCTGGTTTGTCATGTAGAGTAATGTCAACAGTGTTGGTTTAATGCCTGCATTAGCTGAGGCTACCATGAAGGTCTCTCCTCTCATCTGAAGCACATTAAACCACCATCAGTCATGTCACTCTAATGAGAGAACAGCCCGATGATCTGGTTGGACTATGATGATATTTTCACATACCTTTGCGTTAAATTCCATTTGTCACGTGTGTCTCTCGCTCATTTATGGAAGTTTGTTACTGTTGTCTTCACTGTTCACTATATTTTCAAACTCTGCGAGATCTTCAAAGTTTGAAATTACACCTGCTGTCCCTATAAGGATGTTCCCCTTCACCCACTTCATCTGTATTAGAATTATATTCTCTTGAAGCTTCTAGTAACCATTTACTGATACTCCAGTCAATGTTTATTTTTGTCCAAATTGACAGATCCCTTTTCAAAATATTAAAATTATGCCATTCCAGTTTAGTATCTTCACTTTCATTTATTTGTGATCAGTTTCCTTAACTACAAAATTAATGAAGTTGTTATGTCTGTTTTCCAAATGCACTCCCACTGAAATGTGCTTCACCTGCCCACTTAATTTCTTAGAAATAAACTCAGAAATGCTTCACTTCTTGTTGAGCTGGAAATATATTGATCAAGATATTTACATACAAATTTCAGAAATAGTTCACCATTATCGTCCTTAATGCTGTTTCTGTTATTCTTTTCTCTCCATTCTTTATCGGAGTATTGAATTTCTCCACTAAACTACATTATTGTTTTAGCATCTTTATGAAATTTGCTTGCAGATTTGCTGAATCATCTTGCCATTATTTGATCATTTATGCTGGACTGTCGTCTGCAGTCAACAACAGAACGGGGCAGGGATGGCCTAGTGGATATTATTGCTAGACAATTGATCCAGAGACCCTGGTGATGTTCTGGTGAGTTCAAATCCTGCCATGGCAGATGGTGGAATTTGAATTCAAGTAATATCTGGAATTAGGAGTGTAATGGTGACCATAAACCACTGTTGATTGTCAGAAAAACCCATCTGGTTTACTAGTGTCCTCGAGGAAAGGAAACCGTTGTCCTTACCTGGTTTGGCCTACATGTGACTCCAGACCCACAGTAATATGTTTGATACTTTACTGCCCTCTGTGCACTTAGGGATGGGTAATAAATGCTGGCCTGGCCAGGGACACCTACATCCTGCGAATGAATTAAAAAATGGCTTGCTGATAGATCTATTGATTTCTGTGGTGAGAATTTCACCTCTAATTCCTTGTAGTTGTGCTACAACAAATTACTGTGCTGTTTACCAGACATTCACAGCACTGCCACTTCTCAGTATCATAAGGATATCCAAGCAACCAGTCACATTCGTGGAGTTAATAGAACTCTCTGCCCCAAATAAAAAAATAATGTTTTACACAGCACATTGAAGATAGAAATTAAATTATTCAGAAGAAACATTCAATAAAGTTTGAATCTAGTAATTATTGTTTGCACTGCTGCTAAACAATTGTTTTTTTTAATCAGGGAAAACCTTTAAAGACCCAGTTATGTTTGATTGTGTGAGGTGTTACTTTTTAGGGGATTTTTAATGGTGTTGAAATGAGGCATGAAGTTGAAATTGTCACCGACTTTAGTGATAGCTCATTCGAGGAGGAATCACAGCACAATCTGTGACAGAGCACAACTTCAGATTTCCAAGCTAATCAATGCATGCCTGATGTCCTGAAATTGAAGTTAGTTCTGAAGGGGTGATAGCAAAAGCTGGCACTTATTACCAATAACCTCCCTTGCAAACAAAATATGACTACACCCATTTCCCCTTTTGCTGCTTAATTTTAGCCAAATAAAAACAGTGCCTAATCATCAAGAACCCTTCCCTTTTTGTAATAATTTTGGTTTGATCAATTTCCATCCCAATTATTCTCTCCCTTAAATGCTCCATGTACATTGTAGCTTTTAACTTTGAGTTCTTTGTCAAGTGAAGTTTTTGTTATTGCCAGTTAACATTATTGCTGTTTGTAACGTGTGCCTGAACTCTTCACCCTTATTTGCTATGCTCCCTGCGTTTATGTGCATGAAGTTCATCCTTCATTTCCTTTGCATCTCTTCCCTGTCTTAGCCCTCCTCTTTTCTAATATTCAGTTCTTTATGCAACTTGTTTGTCTTCTCTGCTTTGTCTTGGTCCCCTTTCCTCTATCAAATTCATTTAAACCATCTTCCCTGAAGAGCAACAGTTTCTTCACCAGTCTCCGAGAAGTGAATGCTGTTTTTATCATGTATGCCCATCTTGGAAACTTTGCTAACTAACTTTTGTTATCAGGGAAATTTCTGTCATGAATCGTGTAACCTTTAAAGGCCAGTTATGCTTGATTGAGCAGAGGATTTGTAATGGTGTTGCAGGGGCCTGAAATCAAAATTTTGGTTGAAATAAATGAGTTGCTCCATTGAACAAAGTTAATATTAAACGAATTCTTCTGTTCTAAACTGCTACCTGTGTTTGCTCAATGCCTGAAGAAATATAATATAAAATCTTCACAGAACTTGATTGAAATTTAATTCACGTTTCTGCTCGGAGATGGAACGTTTTCAGTATCTAGTACCTGTACCAAGATATCTTGGAACAGAATGTTTTTTAAATTTCTATTTGTTTTGAAGTAGTATGATCGGCTTAGAGCTTTCTTGATTACAGTTTTTACTTTTTTAACTTTTCATTGTCATATCTACAGCACATGTAACACGTTTATTTGTACTTATTTTATTCTTGTACTAGAATTATTTTTTAAACACCAGTCATCAAAGTAGCAGCTGTATTGAGAAAAGGTTCTTCAAATGGAAACTATTATTTCTGCTGATTTTGTTCTCCTGTGGATGGATTATACTGTTTTGAAAGGGAATGTGTCTTATCTGAAGTGCAGAATACAAATGTAATCAATGACTATTTTTTATTTTGAAAGAAGTTCATGCGGCTGTTTAATTGGAGGGTTTGGGGGAAAAAAACATAATACTGAAAATATAACAGAGTTGATGTCCAGGTCGTCTGTCTTGCAAATCTACTTTTGTACCCAATGTTCTTCCAACTTGTGATGAAAATTGAATATATGTGCAATGATTATTTATACAGTAATTCTGAACTCATGAGTGTTCTTCTTCCATCTTGAAGGGTGATTATTCCCAGCCACCACGTTTTCCTGATGTGATTGATAATAAAAGAAAGAAACTCTATAACTATTTGGTGAGTTTGAATTCAGGTTACCTGTCATTAATAAAGTGCAGTAGGGAGCTGAAGCTAATTTGCTATAATCCAAAATACAAACTTTTTTTAAAAACAATGTTGTAGCAATATGATACTTCTTGTAACGTTTAGCACAGAAGGAGGCCATTTGGTCCACTGTGCCTGTGTTGGCCCTCCAAATAAGCATCTCATTCCTGTCGTCTTTGAGCAACCCTGCACATTGTTCATTTTTGAACAACTACCTAATTCCCTTTTGAATGCTTAAATTGAACCTGCCTCCTCCACACTGTCAGGCAGTGCATTCCAGACCCTAACCAGGGTTGTATGATATGGTTTTCCACATCGGTTTTGCTTCTTTTATTAATTAAAGTTGTGTTTTCATTCTCAATCCTTTCATGAGTGGGAATATTTTCTCTTTCCTGACTGTGTCCACATTTCCCAGGATTTTGAATACTTCAACTAGATCTTCTGTGAGCCTTTCCTTCTCCATGGACTTCTTTAGTCTATCTTCACAACTGAAATTCCTCATCCCTAGAGACATTCCGGTAGATCTCTAGCTTTCTCCAGTGCCTTTGCATCTTTCTAAAGTGCGGCACCCAAAATTGGATGAAATATTCAGCTTTTGAGGCAGAATTTGAGTCCTGGATAAATTCAGCATCACCTCCTTGCTCCCCTTTGCTACGCCGATACGAATCAAGCACAGGAATTGTTGTTTAGTGTTGCTACTCTCTCAACAAGTCCTGCCATGCTTGATGACTTATGCACACACAGACCCCAGTCCCTCTGCTTGTGCACCCACTTCAGAGTTGTACCCATTATTTTATATTGTCTCTCCATGTTCTTTCTACCAAAATTTATCATCTCACACTTCACCAATATGAATTTCATCTGCTACTTATCCACCAACTATGCAAACTCCTCTTCTGCCCCTCTGAAGTTGTATGTTATCTTCCTCACATTTAATGATTTCAACAAAAGACTCCATCTGAATAGTTTTGTATTCTGATTTTTAAACTCTTCAATGAAAGCTTGTGAATTATAATCAGTGTGAATCGTTGTTTCCTTGTCAAATATAGACTTCAGAGTGTTGAAGGGTCAACAATAATCTCAAGGACTGTCTTTCCAACATAGAATACTACTTCTGATACTGGTTTAGTTTCTTGGGAAAGTACCTCACCTGCCTCTCTTCCTTGTCTAGCCTTCTCTTGAGTGAAACGTATGAGAGCAGTCACACTGTTGGATGTAAGGGGAGGGCCTTTGCGGGAAGTTGGAGTGGTCAACCCTGTCAAAGGCTGCAGGCAGGTCAAGAAGGAAATGTTTACCTTTGTCATTGTCACAAGAATGTCATTGTGACTTAGAGAGCTGTTTGGTACGATGGCGAGCAAGGAAACCTGATAGAAACATGGAGTTCTGGAAAAGATGGGAACACATTTGGGAGACAACAGTTAAATAGATCCAAGCCAGATAGTGCAATATGAAATTGGACAATTCTGTTTCATAGTAGTCCTTAATTGAGCTGGCTGCTAGCCCTGCAGTTTTGCTGTATCTAGTGAATCATCTACACCATTTCTTCTACTTCTCAGCTGGCTGTAGCACTGCCACATGCCCAAAATATTCCAATAACTATAGGGTCTCCAGCATGACTGTCTTTCATTGGAGATTGCTCATTTGATCACAGTGATCCAGAAATGATCACTATTTCATTTCTCAGTGCTTCCAGCTGCTTCTCAGTTGCTGGACTGTTAATTCAGTGGTTTCCCTGTAGCTTTGTCTTGCTGCAGAAACTGCTGTTGAAGCTTCCCCCGCTGATCTCTCCCACCGCTGGCTCTTTATTTCACTGTCACCATCTGTTATTGTGGTGGTTGTCTGAGATGAGGATAACTGTTCTACATTGCTGAGGAAAGTCTCTGGTCTTTTTAAGATGACTATTTCTTCAGCATATGGTGAACTATTTAAACTCTTAGACTTAACATGACATCTACACAGTACCATATCTCTTCAATCTCCGTTACGATTTCTTATGTCATTACTAACATCTTATTATATACTTATTTTAGATCATATACTCTAGTCCCTGTAATGTCCACTGGTCATAAAATGCCTGAAATACAAAGCCATGCTGGCATGAGAGTAACCACAAAAGCAAGGCAGGCAGTAGGTTCAGACAACTCCTCCACAGCCTGCTGTTGGCCATAGAGGTCTCATGAGAAGATCTCTGATCTGCTGGCAGTATGCAGACAGACTCCTCTTTGTCACCAGGTGGCCAAAGATCAGAAGATGGGGCTGAAGTGCAGGCAGAACATGAGCAGCTCCCTCAAAAAAATGAAATATGATCTGCGCAGCTTGCATGTACGTTGAGCCCATGAACTATCTTCAGAATTGATGCATGCAACATACACTATGCCAGATCCCTGATTGTAAAGCAAAAGGACTCCTGCGTACTGAGCCCTTTTGTGCTGCCCCATGATTTTGGCTTTCCAGAGTCAGGAAACTTTGGAAAATTGAAACCAATGTATCGACTATCTCTGCATTCACCTCTTTGAAGATCCTAGGATGAAGCCCATCAGGTTCTGGTGACTTGTCAGACTTTTAATTAAATAATTTTCTCTGTGTCCTTTCCCCATTAATTGTACTTTTAAGCTTTTTTCTGTCTTTCAATGCTTCATTTAAAAGTATTTTTGCTTTTTTTTTGTGTCTTCTGCAGTGAAGATGCACACAATTTCTGTTCAATGTGTTTGCCATTTCCTCATGTGTATTCATTTAGATATTACACAATGTAGGTTTAGATTAACTTTTAAATCAACAGCTTCTTTGGAGTGTTACACCCAACCTGGTTAGTCGTATTCCAGGTGACAGTATTTCTGAAAAAGAAGCTGAGCAATTATACCAGTGAGAGGAAGTCTCTTGGTCAAATCACATATCGATTACTGTGACTAGTTCTGGTTACTGTATTCCCAACTGAAATGTTTCAAACTTGAATAATTTATTATTCTTGAGTGAAGTGGGGAAATGTAATTTTGTTTATTCACAGCAAAGCTTTCAGATAAAAAGTGAAGATGATGCGAGTTTTGTTCTGAAGGTTACAAAGGCTTTCAAGGATGCATTGATCAGTTATTACCAAAAGAAGGAATCCGTGAGTATTTTGAAATTATTCTAATGGATAGTCTATGAATAGCAATGATTAAATTGTTTCATCGAAGTTGCTGTTTCTGATGTCTGTGGTTAAGAGTGTTGAATTTTAATTTCCGGCAATCGATTTCAGCACTTTTGCCTATACAATTGTTGCAGCTATGCAAGGTTGACCTCACTGCAGTCACCAAAAGCAAAATGCTGTGTGCTCACCCCGTAATGGGAATGAGTCTAGTCAAAATTTAAATGCCATTCATAAACAGCATTTCCTTTAAGTTGTGCAGCTGCATGGTAACTTGCTAACCATATACAGCAAACACCACTGCATTGACATGTGGCATGTAGGCTATTGAATTCAGTGTTTAATGTCTGCAGTTTATCTCAAAATTCCAGCGTTTTAGAGCATGGAAAAAGGCCTTTCGATACATAGTGTCCAGCACCTGGCCCCCATAGCCTTGTATGATATGGCATTTCAAGTACTCGTCTGAATGCTTCTCCAATGTCTTGAGTGTTCCTGCCTCTACCACTTTAGGCAGTGAGTTCCACATACCCATTCCCCTCTGGATGATTTTTTTTCATCATATCCCCTCTAAGTTACCTGCTCCTTAGTTTAAAACTGTGTCCCTTGGTTATTGATCCCTCTACGAATGTGAAATATTTCTTCCTAACCGTCTGATCTGTGCCCCTCCATAACTTTGTACCCTTCAATCAGGTGCCCCATCAACTTCTCTGCCTGAAGGAAAACAACCGCAAGCTATCTTATCCTTTTATTTTGTTCAGTGAGAGCTCCTACTTTAAACCCGTGACACAATTTCTTCTGATTGAATGTGTGTTATTTCAGTGTACACAGTACTCGGTGGTCTGAACACAATGCGCTTATAGCTGAATGATACCACTTAAGTTTAACACCAATTTAATGTGAGTTTATTGATGCTTCTCTAATCTGGTACAGCAGCCTTCAAAGTTTATAGGCATTTGTGAGGAAAGTATTTTGATCTGATGTGCTGCTTTTGATTCAGTCAGCATTAATAGTTAATGTAAAGGTAATTAACATCTAGTCAATAATTCCTTTCACCTTTTGGAATGAAAAAGATTTTGAAAAATTTTAAGTCAATAAAAAGCAGTACAGTATTAGTGCTCTGTTTATATTGGTCAATTTCAAATTTCAGTTACAAGTGGTCTTCATTTGACATTTCCCCCACTTGCAGATTATCAGTATCCGCAGTTCTTTTGTTTTCTGATCTCTTTACTGCTGGCTGTGCTTCACTCCTGGATTTGACTGAGGTTTTGGGCTCCATCTAGTGGCAGAGGTTTAGTCTTTGGCATCCATCTGCACCAATCAACCTATGCCACAAGATGGAGTCTGGTCAATCTAATAGTAATACAGTAAATTTTGTTTGAACCGGCACGCTCGATAAACCGGCAAAATATATACTTCAAATACGAGAAGTTTACCGTATCATTGTGATCTCTGTGACATCCAAGTAGTCAGTCAAGGATGGAAATTTGTGAGAGCTTGCGAGTGAGAAAGCTTACTGCTGGTAAATTTTATTAAAGGCAAAGTTGCATTATTATTTAAGTGATTTATGCCGTAAATAAAGTATAACACTGGCATGTATACCCCCTGCATTACATTTCTGTTAGTTATCTCGTGTTTTTACATAGATTATATGGACCTCTTGATCAACCGGCACATTCCTGGTCCCATAGGTACCAGTTAATAAAACGTTTGCATTAAAAATATCTTTTATTATATTCCTTTTATATTTTGTGATGCATTTTACTATGCTGGTTATTTCAGCCAGGAGTGTAGTATTGCACATGTATGATACAGTATTTCAACTTTTACCTTGTTTTTGTCGGGAACTGAATTCTGACGTTGACATTAATCCTTATGGTAAACCATGCTTTGCTTAAAGTTGCAATTTTCAATTTCCCCAAAGAGTAGGAAATTTGATATACCAGGTGCAATATCTTTCTACAATCATTATGTCAAAGCTGGAAAGAGGTAATAATAGCTCTGGCACTGCAAAGTACAGTACAGAGTTGGTTTAAGGTGGATCAAATAAGTGCTGTTTCCAGAGTGAATTACAATGTCATCAACTACATTGAATCAAAATTGTGATGACCCCAACTCTGCTTCCAAAATTGTGAACTTGATTATTTGTCTTATGTAAAGATTCAGGATAGCTGTTCTCTAGTATATGAATAAAATATCAGATTTTTCGTTAATGATTTTGCAATGTAATCCTATGTAATGAACATCATTAAAATGTAATCGTGGCATAACAATCAGTTTTTTGTTGTTTTGTGTACATCGGTTTTGCACTCTCTTCCATTCTTGACAGATGAATGACTATGATCCAGTGTAAGAGAAAATGCACCAAGACAAATAGAGCTCTCACTCAACAATTTTTCACAACAGGATAACTTGCAACTGAATGGTTTTTGTAGACGTCGAATTATCCAAAATCTAGCAGCACTGAAACTTTGTTATTAATTCTTGATAAAAAAATATCAACTTGGTACAGGCTCTGAGGTGTAATTTGTGCTGAGTGCAAAATCCAACCAGATTTGGTTTCCTGCCTTATAAAAGGAATCATTCCCTACTAACTGGAATTAACAGTTGAAGAAGCTTTGCAACAGCTTCTTCAGTTTTTGGCTGTGAAGGAGTCTTTGTCTTGTATTCAGTTCTACAGATGTTATTAACTGGCATTTCTTCTAGCTAAGATATTGATACTAACTGCACCAGGTCTCTGTTTCTGTTGTCATCTCCTTGAAATAACTTACTAAGATGAAGTTCATGCCAACTGATCCTTTAGTGTGCAGACTACGTCCTACTGCACCATTATCTGGATTTTTTAGAACTGATGATTATTACTATTTTAGTAACCCCAGCCAGTATAGTTAACTTGCATACTTTTAATCAGTACCATTTCTTAAGATTGCTTCATGGAAAATGAAGATAAATATGCATATTTCTGCTGGCTTTATCCTACTCCGTCAGCAGAGCCAATCTTGCAATGGTAGACTGATGGTGCTTTGCTTGACGTCAATAGAAACAATGTAGCTTTTTTTTTGTCCTGTATGGAGATGAAGATGTTGCTTGATATATAATACTTCCAGGCTTACTGTTGCATTTTGTTTGGGTCATTCTCTAATCCGCTGTGGTAGGTATCAATGGCCCTTTTTCACCACAACGGTTGTGGGTATGACATGTCTTCTGAATTCCAGATGAGGTTCTTGTGTCGGTGTTACTGATGCTTTAATCTGTTGCAATCACTAAACTTTGCTGCAAATGCCTAAAATACTGCAACTGTCCTTATTTTTGGACTGAATTATCATGCTATTATTTTAACGTAAGGGAAGAAAGAAATTGCATATGTTGTGCTTTGTCATACTTAATGTCAAAAGTGCTTTAAGTCCAAGAAATTATTTGGAAGGGTTGTGACATATTACTCATAACTGGCAGCCATTTTGTACAATACAGTTTCACCAAAGACAATAACATCAATGACCTGATGCAATATTTTCCTATTCAGTGTTCAAAAGAACATTTGGTTGGAACACTTGGCAAATTCTGCATTTCACAAAGTGCAATGCAATCTTGAACATTGACTGTAACAGAATGTTCATAAGGATAACACTTGTGACAGTCACATTCTTCTAGGTGCGCTGGTGTGGAAGCCTATATCATATGCTCATTCTTGGAATGGGATTTGAAGCTGGAATATTCTAACAGTCCTACAAGTTCATTCAAAGGGTTCATGAAGGAGAAAGCAGCTGGAAGGTGTGCAGTATTGTTTATCATTCTGAATTCAGAAGCGATTCTTTGCGAGAATCTTAATATTCAGCAGAGAAGAGCAGCTAGTTTTCGCAGTTGGTTTGAGACTGACTAGAAAATGATCCAAAATCTGTCTAAGCTCTATTCAACTGCACCTGATGGCAGGCGTTCCCTGTACGTCTGTCATTTTTACTTTGGCTTATCAAAAGACTTATGTCCAGTGGTTCTTTTGTAGGGCTATACATATTGCTCTTGGTTTTGGTCGAGTTCCTTTGTTAAGTTTACGCAAGTTATTTATCTTCCTCCACTGTCACCTGAATGCTTCAAACTGCTGCTCCTGCTCTAAAATTCAGACATAGAGTTGTAAAGTAATATAAAATAGAAATAGGCCCTTTGGCCCAAACTGGTCCATGCTGACCATGGTGCCCACTCAGCTAATTCAAACTGCCTGCGTTTGGACCATATCCCTCTAAACCCATCCCATCCATCTACCTATTCAGATGTTTTTTAAATGTTGCTATTGTATCTGCCTCAACCATTTTCTCTGGCAGCCCATTCCATATATGCGCCACTCTCTGCATGAAGACGTTGCCCCTCAGGTCCTTCTTAAATCTTTCCCCTCTCACCTTTAAACTTATGTCCTCTAGTTTTCAATTCCCCATTCCTGTGAAAAAGATTATATGCATTCATCCTATCTATTTCAATTCCCCATCCCTCATGAATTTATACACCTCAATAAGATTACCCCTCATTCTCCTACGTTCCAAGGATTAAAGTCCTATCCTGACCAACCTCTCCCTATAACTCAGGCTCCCTAGTCCTGGCAACATCCTCGTAAATCATCTTTGCACATTTTCCAGTTTCACTATGTCTTCCCTATAACAGGGTGACCAAAACTGTACACAGTACTCCAAACGTGGCCTCACCAACAACTTGTACAACTGTAACATAACATCCCAACTCCTATACTCAGTGCCTCAACTGATAAAGACCAGCATGCTAAATGTCTTCTTCACCACCCTGTCTACGTGTAACACAGCTTTCAGTGAACTATGTACTTGTACTTCTAGGTCCCTCTGTTCCACAACACTCCTCAGGACCTTACCATTTACTGTATAAGTCCTACCTTGGTTTCACTTTCCAAAGTGCAACACCTCACATAGAATTGCATTTGCCAGTCCTCAGCCCTCTTCCCTGTCTGATCAAGATCCCTCTGTAATTTTTGATAACCTTCCTTGCTATCAACAATACTGCCCAATTTTGTATCACCTGCAAACTTACTAATCATGCCTTGTACATTCACATCCAGATCATTTATGTAAATAACAAATAACAAGGGTCTCAGCACCAACGCCTGTGGCATACCTCTAAACACAGGCCTCCAGTCCGAGAAACAACCTTCGACTGTCACCCTCTGCTTACTACTATTGAGCCAATTTTAAATGTTATTTTAAATGTTTAGGAAAAGTAAGATAGTTCTCATCATTCTCCTGAATATAATCTTAAATAACCTTGTTAATATGTTACAATTGGATGAACTTTCACAATCTAGAACTGGGCTTCCTTTTTCTGCATACAAGGAAGAGGAATCAGTTGACATAAATCCTGAGTAGACCTGAAAGATGATGACTGCATTTTACTGTTGATGCCTATTCGGATGTGCAATTGTGCTGCTAAAATTATCCACACCAGATAGGATGTTTCCACCTTGTAAGGCTGTAATGTTAACTATTCTGATTTACCTTAACAAAAATAGCTTACCTGAATTTGATTTCCTTTGTCCAGAAATTGCCCATTTTAACTAAACACCCAATCGCCCACCTCATGCTAATGTGGAATGTGGTTTACCACAGCTTTAATTTCAAACAAGTATGGAGTATTATGTCTCAATCTTCAAAGTATTTTTTTGTTCAATTCATTTGTTTTCCCATTTAAACTTTGGCAGGCAGAAGAAAATCTTTTATTTCATATGAGTGAGTTTTTGGTTCCAGAAATTCTATTCATAACCTGATGATTGACTTATATGAGGCATGAATTTGGCTGATTGTATTGGATACTTTGAGTATTCTGTTAAAGCCTTCACTGTAGTAATTGATACTTTATAGAACAATTGGGGAATCCATTGAGTTTTATGCGCAAAACTATCACGTGCAAGTTTCATATGGCTATTTGAAACTTAATATCTTTAGAACTCGCGTTGTTTGTGGGAACTGCTGCTAGAGAGAAAAAAAATGCGAAATAAAATTAGCATCAACTCGTGTTTTACAAGAGAAGACTAAAACACACTTCGCAATAAAACCTGGTATTGATGTTGAATTCCAGCTGACTCCAGTCATTCACAAGCTAAGCTGACTCCCAGATAATTTTTCAAGAATGTGGTCAACCTGAGCAAGTGGAAAATTGTCTACTGCGATGATTTTATCAACTTCCTCTCTGCTTTTCAAACAGAACTGCTGCTACTTTCTACCTTGTTCTCTCCACTATGCAGACAGTCTTTGAACAGAATAGGAAACTTATCTTATTATTTTCTGTTCTTCCATTGATGTATTGATCGTGCTGCAAACTGGATCTTTCAAAGGCTGAGCTTTTAGAAGAAAAGTCTTCATTTTGAAATTTTTGCTTCAATTTTTGCTGCAAATTCACAATTGGCTTTATTTCAGCTAAATTGGATAAAGAACCTTGAAAATAAGTAGTGCTTGGGATCTGTTATTATTTGTTTCACTGAACTCAAGTTTCATATGCTGATCTCAAATTGATTACCAAGTGTACTTGACGGATAATCCCAGTGAGCTTTATTTACTGTCAGCCTAAAATGCTTCAAGATCTTAAATTGTAGTAAATAAATTAGACTAGGTTTCTTCTTTTGAGGAAAAAAAACAATGTTCTTATGCTTTGTTTTTAACTAAACAGTGTCTAAATAGTTCTTGCTGTGTCCCATTTCAAACCTTTTTTCCCTTGCCCAACCTCAAAGGACCCAGCCATGAGGGCTACATTGGATCAGAGAACTGCAAGATCCACCGGTATACCAGATGGCTATTCCAGATATAATCCTGATGCATCAGCTTCAGCAGTACGAGGCTCAGAAAGCCCCAGAGGTAATTCAGATTTGAAAATTATCAGCAGCATCTCTATTTATAGGTGCTATTAGACAAACCATATTACCTCTTACCTCATTGGTTTCTTTGCATTGACTTTAGTTGACCAATTGAGGATTTTGTCTGAAATTTAGCTTGGTTCTTAAGGTAAGTAAGATAATAGAAATTGTAATAGACAGCACCTGAAGCTATGATCAAAAGCCATTGAGATCCTTGTCTCTATCCTGGATCATAAATTCAGGTTCCCATGATTAGCTGTGACTTGATCTGACTTAGTCAACTTAGTCCAACCTTCAGATTAGTTTCAGAAATGCTATCTGAAGGGCAGCTTTCTGGACCTGAAACTGTGTTCCCCTCTCCGGTATCAGTTTGGTTCGAGGTCAAGGACCCAACATTGGGATCCACATAGTGCAAGAAACAGCTGACAAAAGCTAATCAGTAGATTAGCTGACCTTAGGTGCACAAAGTTGCCTGAAATCCATATATTTATCCATGACAGCTTTATTTTACCTTGGGAATAACTTCTCCAAGTGAATTTGAAGCTGAGTCTCCACCTGCAAAATTTGCCCTTTTCACCCTTCAGTTGGAGATAATCTTGTTTTTCCATAATTTGAAAGACTGAAGGTTAAATCATGTAGAGGCTATTGAGGCACCACCATCATCAATGGGTCTTACTATCTGAGAAATTCCACAGCAACATTACATGCTGAACTGATCTTGGGTACATCATCAGTTGCTGAAGATCCATCTTTATTCATGCCTGCTTTGTTGTACCTTGGAGATAGCTCCTGTTACTGGACTTGAAGTTGTATTTTCAGCTGCAAAATCTGCCCATTGCAACATCAGGTTGCGCTGTGCAGACCTTTAATGGTTCTTTCAGGCTAAATTGTTTAAGCCATATGCATGAGCAGTACCAGCTGTTGGAGGCACTATCAGCATAATTAAGCAATTCCATTCATTATGATTGCAATCATCAAGAAACTCGATCCCAAAACTCATGAGAGAACCTAACAGAATGCTTTCTTCTGTATCAAGGAAGAAGACCATTTCTTCATGACAAAGGATTTTGCTCAGCCATGTGTGCCAAATTTCTTGGGCTTTAATGAAGAAATGGCTTCAACCTTATATCACTTTCACATCAAGAGAGTACTGTCAATGGCATTCTGTAGTAGTCAAGTGTTGATTGCATTCTGTAATGTCAAGGATTGAATAGAATCCAAGAGTGACATTTTTGAAGGTTTTATGAGCTGTCCTTCTCCACCTGCATTCAAGTGCACGGAGCCAGATTGTATTCCTGAAACTGCAAGAACTGCAGGACCTTTTTCTGGCCAGCTTCGGAGTGTCAGCACCACCTGAATTTATCAGGATTAAGCAAAGCAGAGAGATCACCATTTTGTTTGAGTTCCACTTTACTGGAGCTCCTCAAGGAAGCACAAAAGTACCTTTTACGTAATGGTGCTTGTGACTTTCTGCATTTGCTGGGGCAGGGTTTTCCAAGTTCTGTGACTCGTGATGGTGAGTGCATTTAAACAAGATGCCTCTTTAAACAATTTGTCAATTTGATATAGATTGTTGAACTATAATGACTATATGAAGACCTTGTGCAAAATGGCGTTTGTCTAACAGTCAGCAGAATTCACTATTTTGCATAAGATACAATCCATGAGGAGCAGAGAGAAGTCTGGAAACATTCCAGTTGCCTTTTACTTCTAGTTAATGCATTTTTATAAACATGTTCCACTATGAGCTTGTACTAATAGCCAATGAACAGATTCCCCAAATGTTTTTCCTCCATCGGAAAAATTAATATACTAGCGCATACTTTTTATTCAAAGTCATCAGACATGTGAAGTCAACTAAAATACAGTTGAAGGCATCAATTTACAACTGAAACTGAAATTCAGTTGTCCTTTTTTTGGCTGGTTCCCTGCACTTGCATCTGTGCCTGTGCATCTGTCAATTGTTACCAAAGGTTTGGTGATTTGACTTAGAACTGGTAAGTAATTATTTGGGAGACTTCAGAAACAATTCAACACTGGTCTAAGATTCACCAACATTGCTGTGGTGATCCTACTTCAAAGAAAGGATTCTCTTTCACTGGTTTTAAATATCCTCACTTCAACTGAAATGTGTGTCATGAAAATGGAACATTCTTTTGTTCCAGAACACTGCAAAGGTCCAGTGGTGAACTTACCACTTTTTTTTAATTAAAGCCTGTGATTGAGTCAGAGATACCAATGCTGCAGATTTCTGTCTCAAATATTAAATGAGCATTCTTCACGAACAAGCTCTGGTATGGCACTGGTTGGTAAAGGGTGAAACATAGTAAGGTCATTACACTTTTACCCTAAAGAAGATCTGCTTCATGGACAGAAGAATGGTATTCTTCCTGCACCTGTTGCTGGTAATTCCAAAGGGCAGAGACTCAGACCTATCCTCAATCAAAGGAAATCAGAACAAATATTTCACAATCATAGTGCTTGAGGACCCCCTCCCCCAAGTCTCATAGTCACTGCATCCTGAGGGATTTAGCCTCGATGATCTGCTAACCAAACATGGCCAAATATTTGTGCCATCAAGTGCCACTAAATGTTACCAGTACAAGAATACTGCTCAAAATCACAGCTTTTAAATTCTATGGGCCAAATGCATGCTACTAATTCAGGAACTGCTTCAACCAGATCTGCATGCAAGTGCAAGATCTCAAAATAAATAGAACTGTGTTCTGATTGGAACTTTTCTAAGATAGTCAGTAACTAGACTTCTCTCTGTCCTCTAGATAGGCTTTGTATGGCAGAGAACTGGTGAAAACAACCATCACATAATCCTTGACATATCATCTTGAATTTGTACTAATCAGTTTTCAAACACATTGTGTTGGTGTTTCGGATTTGGTATGTCATTTTGATATTTATAGCTGTCAATTCCTGGAAACTTTTGTACATTTACCATTGGTCAGAAAAAATGCTTCCTTCACAGTTGAATTAAAAATGTAATCTGTTGTGCTTAATGCTACCGTGCATTGCTTGTTTTACAAAAGGATCTTTTGGTAGTGTTTTATTACAATTTGTTTCAGACTTGGCATCACAATCCATGTTTTATTGTAACAAAATCTACTTATGTTTTATTTTCATTTTTTTTTAGGTGGCTATGATTGGAAACAGGATATTTTGGCAACAGACCTGAGGCAATCACTTGAATCCTCATCATATCTATCCTCTGCTGCTGCCAGAGATTCTGCAATGTATTCCTCTTCAGGCAGGGGCTATTCATCAGATGACAAATCTGGGAGTCAGCATATGAACTGGGGCATGAATGCAAACTCAGCCAATACCTACTTTGGTCGCTAAATTCATTGCAAGGGTGTAATAAGAGAATAATAGATGGTTGGGGACTGTGTGTTCTGAATGCTGCAGAGCACAAACTGATCTTTTAATGTACATCTTAATTCATTACCTTCTTCCCTCACCATGCATTGCTCTTCATTTAATTTTGATATACTTTTTGTATTTGTTTCTGAAATGGCAGCATCTCTTAAGGGTAACCATATGACTGCAGATCTAACCCAAGTTCACAGTTCAACTGAAATTCAATGAAATAACATATCTCTGCCCCCCACATAACATGTAGTGCTTGAATAGCTTGCATTTTTTTCTCATCGAAGACTAATGTGTACAGAAATTGATGCACTTGGAAAACCTAGTTTCAGGAGTGCATTGTTATTTTTATCTCCAAGTTTCTCTTTTCATCTTGTCAGTGCATTTGTATAGGAACTAGCATTCATTGATGAAAAACCCACATCTGTTGACAGTTAGACCAAGGTGGACATTATAGAACCCTCATCCTGTCCTCGACTGATGTCAGGAAATGTACTTGTAAGCAGTGATTGTTTGGAATGGGAACCTTGACTGCCACCATCATACACCCTATATTCGTATACCGGAGGGATACTAAGCAATTCTCTGGCATGAGATTGATAATGGTGTAGTGACTGAAGGCTTTTACTTCAGTCCAGCACTATATGTCATATTTACTCCGATTAAATGAGCGACATATTAGCTTTTCTACAATTTTGTACTCTGCATGAGCTTGTACACCTAATGCAGTCATCTGTCATATCTATAAGCCAATTAGTGATCATTTAACTTTCAGCTAGTATTTTAATGTTCAATTCCAACAGTAAGAAGTTTTCAAATAAATTAGTCATAAATTAGAAGGTAACTATATCATCCCCCACCATGATGGAAAGCTTTAGAGACTGCTGTTTTGTACAATTACAGTGGTGTTAAACCATTCAGCTCAGTTCCTGGACTTAGGTTTGGTAGACATTTTAAGCAAAATAAAGGTTACGGATGGGTTTCAAGACACTCCATTGACAGTCAAATTTAATTCACATTGTGGTGCAAAAATGTAGCCAAGTTAGACAAGGTGTCTAAATCTATAGATTTATGAACATCTTATTTTTTCTTCTTGCAACTTAAATTGCATACGATGATTTGTAAATTGTCCCTTCCTTCCACCAATATGCCATTTTTGAATTTGGTGATGGGGAAATGCTGCATGTTCATCTGGGTGAGTGTGGCTTCTTCATTTTGAGAAACCACCTCAATGTAACATGAGAGAAGTATAGAAAGACAGTTTCAAGATGATTTATTGAGCTTTCTTGCTGTGTTGTTTCTAATATAGAATAAACATTGGGAGACTAGAGCCTCTTGCGTATTAGGCATGAAAGTCTGCATCCTTGGGAGTTTTTGTTAATATTGCATTGATTAGTTTGATTACCACTTTAAACATATAATTAAGAATGGGAGTTGAATACCCAACAGAAATTTCCTTCAGCTGACAGCTAATATTAAGTACAAATGTTCGTTAACTATTGTTTGAATATTGCATTTTCCCTGTAACTTTTAAATTGTACATTTTATCAATTACATCTATACTTGTTGGTAATATTTAATATTAGAAAATAGAATTGGAGAAATATGCCTGCATGATTCTGGACCATTTCCTCTTGGACTTTGGAGTAGACAAGTATTAAGAGTTTTGGCTACATTAATACAAAGATTTTTACCATCTTAGATTTGCAACTCTGACTTCTGGCCTGTAAATCTGTTTCAGTTCCAATCATTTGGCATTCACTTAAATTTGTGTGCATTTACATTTCAAGACTTTATGCATAAGTGAATTATGTTCTTAAGAGATAATCATATTGTTTTGCAAACTGTAATTAAACAGTATTTTCAGCATTTAAACTATATACATTTAGAAAAGAAAAGAAAAAAATGCTGAACAGGGTATTTAAAAGTGCATTTTGTTTTCCATTCAAACTGGCAACCAAAATACTTTGCTAAAGTACCTTAATGAGTATGCAAGAGGTTCTACATATTGCTCGGTCAATTATTCTACCATATAGAGTAAGGTTCTAAATTCAATTCTAAGTCAGAGTTGAGTTATCCGGTCTTAATTAGAGTGTCATAATTGATTGTGGCATCCATCAGTTAGGAGGGAAATATTGACATCGGTTCCTATTCCTGATCACGGTTCAAGGATTCTTGCTAAAGTGCTTACATGACAGGATTGACTTGGGTTAGAGCTAATCTCAGATGGAGTATCTTCCTGAACTTGACTCATTTGCTGATGATCACTGTGAAGACTTGTATGCATAATGACTAATTGAATTGGTGATTAGCAGCCATGAATGATAAGGATGGAACAGAAGAAAATTGTCATGGAGGTTTTAAAAACTGCAATATTTTGCAACTTCAGCCTTGTGCTCTAGTAAGCAGACAATTGAGAAAGAATGCATTATATATTAACTACAGTTCTAAAATTGAAGCAAGTTGGTGTTGAAGTACATGCTTGGGGGAGGGAATCCGATCTTGTGGTATGATCTGAGTTTTGCAAGTATTAGAACGGAGGCTTCATCCTTTGCCACAAAACAGTCAAAATACTCATGAATTGGATATTTTGCATCACACATGAAATCGATGTTTGTTTGAGATCCAAAATATGTTTGGCTTGTTGTTATGGAGTTATTCAGGCAAGCTGTTAGAGCAAGTAAACTCATTAATGAAACCTTGGTTTCTTTTCAGATTGAAATTGCTATTAAGTGACAATACTTGTATCATAAAATATAAGACACCCTGTAATCATTTCCTTGTAGGTGTACTCTACATTGGTATGTAACTGAAGTTAGGAAATAACAGAAATTCAAAATTACATGGACATTTTTTATTACTAGGCCAGTTTTCAGTACGCGGTTATCGTTCTCTGTAATGCACATTGTATTCTATTGCCAAGCGTCAACAATTTGTGATGTGGCGTGTACCTGAAGGTCATGAGGTCTAAATAGTTTCATATGCTAAGTTAATTTAGAGGATATTAGATCACAAGAACATCTGGCTTCTTAGGTACGTTGGAATTTTTCTTCTTGTTTAGAAAGTTTCTTTGCAGATTGGAAGTGACTTGTAATTATTTTGAATTTCATACTTCATGTCTTTCCAACTGAGTGTAGTGATGCAGTTATGATCAAATTGTCTCCAGAACATGATTTTTGCTTTGATTGCATGACTAAATAGAGAGTGCTATTTTCAGTGAAAAACAATGAATGTCATTTTGTGAAAATTGTACATTTACTATCTTTTAAAAGTTTTGTTGACGCTAAGCAACAGTAATGCTCAAAATGTAAAACTGCAGGAAAAGTAATCTATGTTCTGAGCTTTATTTCTAAATTTTTTGAGAAGTTTGGAAGTGTTTCATCATTGTCTAAATAATTTGTGTGTTTGCTTCTTTGTTTCTGTGACCATAAAAGGAATCAAAATAAACAGAAAATTGAACATTGTATACAGAACATTCTCTCTCTTAATCAGAGTCTGTTGTTAAGTAAATATTTGGCATTTCAAAGCTCTCAGGAGAGCTGGAAAGTCACATTCAAAGCTGCTATTGTTCTTTGCAAAACAAAACCTTGTCCCCTTATCAAGGGTGAATAAGTGCCAATAGTTGTTTTAGGCAAAAAATGAAAAGTTGGAAGTCACCTAGAATATTAAGTAAATATTACTATTTTAAGTGAGACACAGTCACTCTGTACTCCTAAATGTATGGTTTTTAATTCCACATCTAAATGAATTCCACAAAATAGTATAAATTCTTCTGGTAGTGTAGGTTAAAAGCCTGACAGATTATAATCTCTCGACTTCAGCCTTTTGTTGGGGTAAACTCTGCTCTTCTTACTTGCATGGTTTAGTTGTGTATGTCCTTCTAAACTCTTTGCTCCAAAGAGAGACATGTCAACATAGCCGTGGTCACCCATCAACCTTGCCATTGACCACAGTCTCTTCACAGAGAAAAGTGTGTTTAAGTACTTCTTTATTGCCATTACCAGTCCCACCCTCCCCTTCCTCCTTGGATAAATAAATACTTACTGGAATCAAATCACAACTTTATTTTTTTATCTCAGTTGCTTATTATGCAGCATTTAAACTCTCTCCTTGCAGATAGTCGTTGCCTGGTGCTTACTGATTTGAATGTTACTTTAAAACTTACCAGCCCAAGTTATGAATATTGTCTGGGTCTTGTTGCATATGAGGATGGGCTATTTCAGTATTTGAGGAATCATGAATGGGACTGAACATTGTGTAGTGAACATTCCCACTTGTTATCTTGTAATGGAGGGAAGGTCATTGATGAAACAGCTGCAGATGGTTGGGCTGAGGACATCACCTTGAGGAAATCCTGCAGTCACGTTCAGCGAGGCTTATGCCCATAATAGTATTGGTAAAAACTCGCCATTGCACAGATCAAGTCTGATCTTCATTAACACCATGTGAAGTGGGATAGACTCAACAGACCTAGCAGCTCAAAACTAGACATTCATGATGTTCAGGGCTTTAACAGCAGCAGAATTTATTCAAGCACAAGGTGTAACATTCTGGCGCAGCATAGTCATGACTCTTATGATTATGATGAAGCCAGTGGACCAACTCTGATTTAACAGGTTGTGTAGGAATGCATACCAGGAGCCACACCTCGTGTGGCTAACCTTAACTACACACATGCTGAAAAGCAAAAACAGTTATGATCCTAGTTGTTATTATTGGATAGGTCAGATCTCAGACTGAAACCTGGCTTGATATTTTGTTTTGTTTTTAAACAAAGTGGTTTCTCACATAAGCATGCAATATTGCAGATTTTGCTTTAACAATAAAACAAATTAATTAACAAAAGAGATGATAGACTTGTAAGCAGACAGTAAAAAATATAATCCAAAAATGTTCTGTTATAAATTGAAAAGAAAAACTGCTTTTGCATAGTAACCAAAATCGCCATTTATCCTGTCTTCACTCCAGAGTCCCTGTCTCTCTCAGCTTCATAGATTTAAATTCTTTGTGACTTCATCTTCATCTGGAACAGCAGATAGCTTCTTGTTGGACCTTTTAACGCACCTGAGCTTAAAATGTACTCCGCTTAGTTCCAGACCAGAAGTGTTGGGACAATCACTAACTCTTTCCCCAAGGTTAATCCAGTTTCACTATATCCTTCCCAGGAACACTGGTCCATACTAGCATCTTCATTTCAGGATTTCACAGCATTACCCAAAATGCAAAGGAAACAAATTTTTTTTAAAAAAATAACCTGAATCTGTGGGTGTTTTCCTTAAACTTAAAACTCACTCTCCTATTTAAACCGAAGCTTCCTTGTCTTATTCAATAGTAAACTCTACAATGTTCAAAAAACTCCATTCTAAAGCTTAGCCTCAAAAGCTGTTTTAAAATAAAATGAATCGCAAGTATTTCTGGAGTTAATCAACTTCCAGATACACAGAAGAAGTTGCTAGCAAACAAAATACTAACCTGACAATGAGTGATATTAAAAATAAGTCAAACGGTCTACAAAGTGAGGAAAAACAATCATGCACAACTGTTCAGATCAAAAAATTCTGCCATTTCCAGTCATGAATGGCTGTTGACAAGCAACAAAGAAAAGGAGGTGGCTCTAAAAACGTCCCCATCCTTCATGATGGTGAAGTTCAGAACGTCAATGCAAAAGACAAAAGTATTTGGAACCTCCTTGAATCAGAAGCGTGAACTGGACGAATTATCACAACCTCCTGCTGAGATCCCCATTTTCACTTGTGCCATTATGTAGAACAACCACTTCAGTCAACAAATGATATTTTTAAAAAATAGCTGTAAGCATTGATGCAAAGATTATTAGCCCTGACTAAATTCCAGTAATAGTATTGAAGGCTTGTACTTCAGAACGATCCATGCCCTAGCCAAGTTGTTCCAGCACAGCCACAGATGAAAAATTGCTCAGGTATTTTTTTAAAAAGGACAAATTCAGTCTACTCTCAATCATCAGGAAACTGATGGTAGGCATCATCAACATACTGGCAAGTGACTCTCAGCAACAGTCTGCATATCGCTGGTGAGTTTGGGTTCTGGTGGGTCACTTTGCTCTGGTTCTCAGCACAATCTTGGCATAAACATGAGCAGAAGTGTTGTTGATTCCAGACATGAGGCGAAAGTGGCTGATTTTTACAAATAGCATTTGACAAATTTGAAGTCAGTGAGAATCAAGGAAAGCTCCCCACTGGTTGGAGTCATTCTTCCTCCATACTTTAGTCAGATTCAAGATCTAATCGGACCATTTCAAACAACGTTTGGCTTCAATTTCTTTTGACAAAACCATCTGTTACAAAGTCATAATCCATAGTCTTTTTCACACTTCTCTTTTATCTCTTCTTTTCTTGCCTCCAAAAATAACTCATTACTTCACTTTAGAGGACTGAGAGCATTTTCAAATTGCCTGTGCTGCAGCTTTATTTGCCTACCTCCCCCAACATACCCCCTATTGTCCTTAGGCATTTCCTTTAATAACCTTGATATCTGTTGTGAGCTCATCTTGCCCGTGAACTCTGCTTTAGCATCATCTGGTACTTGACATTGTTAATGGTTTCCTCTCCTTCACAACAATCTTCTTGCTTTTCAAAATCTTTCCATCCCCCTCGAAACAAATTACTCTTTATTCCTTTGACCTTGTAAACTATTAATCAATTCCCAGCCTCTTTTATTTCCCCTCAACTCCTTAAAATGTGTTGTTATGTTTCAAGTCTATCTCCATTTCTCATACAACTATAAATTCTCAAACAGTTTTTGCCCATACCACAGCACTGGAATATTCCTCAGCGAAGATACAAATCACATTTTCTCCAGTTGTTGCCATGGCGTTTTCTTTCTTTCCATGCTTCCTGAAACCTTTGAAACGATTGATACTCTTTCAACATCTACCACCCACCCCCAACTACATTATCTTAAGGCCATCGCTCAATCTCTTTTAAAAAGGTAAGTTGCCATAGTCTTACCAGACCATAGAGCTGCTGTCTTGTTAGAAATGATGGATGGTGATTAACCTTAGGTTTACAATGCTAAGATGAGAAGTTTGTGTACTGAGTGAAGCCAACAGCATAGGTTCAATTCCCACACTGGCTGAGCTTATCATAAAGGACTCTACTTCTCAACTTCATCCCTTCCTGGAGATGAAGTGACCCTCATGTTCAGCCACCACCACCAGTTATCTCTAACTAAAGAGAGAACAGTCCTAAAGATCAGGTAGGACAATAGTGACTTTTTCCTTTTGTACCTCAGGTAGATGCCTATGAGATTCATTGTTGGGCAAGTTAGTCATTTCACTAATTAGAGGGATATGTAAGTCATTGTTACCACTCTATGCCAATGAACCAATGCCCCGGAAGCCACATATCCTGTCATATCTTGAGTCCAGCTTCCAACCCTATTGGTCTCCATCATAAAAAGGCCATTTATGTTTCTGCAGCACCACGTCAATCATCTACTCCTGAAACCATATGTCAAACCTTGACTGCTTCCACTTGGACTGTTCCAATTCTTTCTTAATCAGCTTCCAGTGCTGCAGCCTCCATTACCCATAGCTCATATACACCTGCTTATCGGATCCAAACTTGCATCAGTTTCTACTTGTCAATCACTCCATCCTTATTTGAGGCTGCTCAATTAAATCAACAATTCTAACTTAATTCTCACCTTTGTTGAAATGCTTACGTTTTATCCCTCAATTTCTGAAAACTCCAATCATGCTCCCTTTGTTCAACTATTGATAGCCACTGCTCTGTGCCACCCAGGCCGCATGATTTGGAATGACCTTTCAATATTAGATAAATGTGAGGTGCTGCATTTTGGAAAGGCAAATCTGGGCAGGACTTAGACACTTAATGGTAAGGTCCTGGGGAGTGTTGCTGAATGAAGAGACCTTGGAGTGTAGGTTCATAGTTCCTTGAAAGTGGAGTCGCAGGTAGACAAGATAGTGAGGAAGGCGTTTGGTACACTTGCCTTTACTGGTCAGTGCATTGACTATAGGAGTTGGGAGGTCATGTTGCGGCTGTGCAGGACATTGGTTAGGGCAGTTTTGGAATACTGCATGCAATTTTGGTCTCCCTGCTATAGGAAGGATGTTGTGAAACTTGAAAGGGTTCAGAAAAGATTTACAAAGATGTTGCCAGGGTTAGAGGGTTTCACCTAGAGGGAGAGGCTGAATAGTCTGGGGCTTTATTTTCTGGGGCATCAGAGGCTGAGGGGGTGACCTTCTAAAGGTTTATAAAATCATGGGGGCATGGATAAGGTCTTTTCTCTGGGATGGGGAGTCCAAAACTAGAGTGCATAGGTTTAAGGTGAGAAGGGACCTAAGGGGAAACTTTTTCATGCAGATGGTGCTGTATGTACGGAATGAGCTGCCAGAGGAAGTGGTGGAGGCTGGTACAATTGCAACATTTAAAAAGCATCTGGATGGGTATATGAATAGGAAGGGTT